TCACTCTGGTAGATGTATCTATCCTAAGTCATTAGAAATTGTGAAAAGAGAATCCACATTGAACATAGAAAAGGCTTTTTTCGAGCTAGAGATCAACATGGCGAATGAGAAAGAGATGGCAACTAAGGAAAAATAGGTGTTTGTGTATCGTTGCCTACTTGGAATTGAGCTAAACAATTGGAAAATAATGAAGTTGTTAATTGTTTTTTAGTCCCTTTCAAAGTAATTAGTGAGTATTCTTCAATGCTTCTGCCCAAAGTATTTTAGAGGTTTTTGTATATGGAATTATCTTTGTATTTTAATAAAATCAGTGCTTTTCATTTCTTTTTCTTTCATTCATTTTTCACACCTTTATACCCACCTATATTTCTTTAATATACATTTTTTAGATATCCAAATAATAAACATGAAGATAACCATGACAATAATCTAGAATTTGACTTTGAAAATCTTATTCACGTTAATGAGCTTGATAATGACAAAACTCAATAAATAAACTAAACCATTTTAGTCTTTTTAATATTTTTAAGGATTCTTTTATGATTTTTCTTTAATAAGTGTCTAAACTTATTAGCTTATATAATTTGCCCATAAAATTATACTAAAATCTTACAACACTATCATGGTAATTTTTATTTCTTTTTATTTTTATCACCTCCATCATATGCAAGTATATATTCTTTTAGTAAAGAATGTCTCATTCAATTGTCAAGATATCATATATACTTAATCCAGTTGTCAATTCATTAAGCTTTTCACTATTTTGTGTTTTTTTTTTAAGTAAGAGGCCTCTAAATCCATCGTCAGTGAAAGATAACTAGCAAATATCTTAATATTTCTATAAAAGTTTCAAAACTTTTATATTTTAACTTAATATAAGAGTTTACATTAATAAGCAGATTTCAAATATAATCATGCTTTTATAATTTTTTTTTAAGACTTTTTATGTCAATTCATAAATACTTATATAAATCTGTTTCATCATGGACACTATTAATGATTTTTATTACCATGAACAAAAGTATTTCCATAACCCATATGCATCAAATATCATTCTTTTTGCTATTATAAAAGTTTTTATATTCACAAAATCTGTGAATCATTTATGACTTTTAAAGTAAATATATTTTAAAATTTTTACTATATAGAATCATAGATGATAAATTATTTATACAATTCATGAATTAGACCATATATATAATAAAAAATACCACAACGTGATCAAGATTGTGGCATTAATTTTGGCTTATGACTATTCTAAGCCAACCATAATAATCCACATCATACCTACAAATCATGAAAATTTGCTATTGAAGTTATCTCATTTATAGTGATGGCTTTTAGTGAAAATTAATTATCTCAAATGTTATTATGAGTTTCCAATGCATATATTAATTGTCCAATGATCAATTTCAAGTTCATGACTATCGAAATCTCTAAACTTGATTTCAAAATTTTACGAGAACTTTATTTCTCCACCATTATGCAGCCTATATATCTTTGTTATTTACCACTTTTAATTGGTCATAACATTTTTGGATATATAATAAATTCAAACTTTACTCATATAACCAATATGCCTATGTATAATAAGAGTCCAATTTCAAATACTTTCACAATTATTTTGTGATTAATATGTTCATATCTAGATCACCATATTTAAGCAAGTCATGAAACATGAATCCAAAGAATCATTTTTATAAAATAATATAAACAATAATTATAATATGAGTTCTATTCATATTTCATGCAAAAACTTGTGATGAATTTGTATTGGTTAAATTATTAATTTGCTAACTCTAAGGCCTACGGCTTTCACAAACCAATATTATTATCTAAACCCATATGTTAATATGGTATATAACCAGCCACATATTTGCCATTGTCATGAAACTATTGAAAACTTCAAAACTTGTTCACTTTTCATTTTAACAGCCTACCAAAGGCTATTTTTTCAGGTACAAGAAGCAAAAATATCTTCATTGTCTTTAACCAATAATGTATTAATTAGATGATGGCATTCTATGTCCATAGTTCATATCTTTCTTATATGTATAAGAAAGAAAATTACCTCTCATTCAATTCATTTTAGTAATATATGATAAACTGTACCAATATTCTCTATACTATCACAAAATGAAATTAAACACATGCATGTATTGGTGCCTTTGGAATATTAAATTTGCATGTTCTTTCCTAATTCATAAACATGCCTAATTAGACATTGATAAGTATCTTTCAAAAGCTAGTAACCAATAAATGCTTCAATATTTTTTAATGATATGCATTTTCTTTTAATCAATCATCTAATTAGCCCAAATTGTTGGCCAAATTTTAGTTAGTGATACTAACATAAAATTTACAAAATATAGAGATGCCATAGATATACATACTTAATGTATTTTACATTACCAACAGCCACAATTCTACATGAAATTATAAATTCATTGCATATAATAAACTTGTATTAACTTATTATATTATAAATTCAAACAATTTATAAATGCTATCATTAATGGGAATAATATTTCAAAATCCAGACCTTTATAAACCTCATAGTTATAATAGTTTAATATTTTCTTTTTAAACAAGCATCTTTTTAATCTCCTACCTTTTGTAAGATAATTTCATCAATCATAGTTATACAACATGAACATTTATATTTCCAAATTCTTGAGTTTATTTGTCTTACTTGTTTTAACCATCAAACATAAATTGAATTATACCTTAAATATGTCCTTTGTTATTGTACACAATAAAATTTTATTATGTAAAATTACTACTAGTGTAATACATTCAGCAGACAAAATACATGTCACATTGCTGATGTTTCTAATAATAATAATTATTTGGTTTATTATCCACCAAACACCATAGCTTAATAATAATTATTCATATACATCAATTTAATTTTAATTGGTTTTCATGAAAATTGAACACTAGTCAAAATTTGAACCAATAATAAATTTAAATAAATAAATATATATATCAACCTTTGATTTATAAATGACCAACAAAGATAGACCTATACAAATAGCTTGACTCAACTTATTATCTCAATTTTCATGCTATGATTTAAAAATAAAATTAATCTTGTAGCCAAATCTTATTTTCTGTATATATTTTTCACTTACATCTAATTTTTCATGGTAAATTTTTTTACCTATTTCCAATTATTTTTCATAAAAACCATGGGATAATTTACCTATTCTATATATAATCAGGATATGACAATTAAACAATTAGTCATTCCATTAGAATTCAATTTAATTTGTTACTTGATAACAAATAATAATTATTTTGATTGTAAATCAATTCATGTCTTTTTCTTTTATGTTTTCAAGCTATTTTTCATCTCAATCTTTATAAGTATCAATTTTTCAAATAGATATAATACAATTCATTAAACCCAATTGTGAAATCAATTTCATTATATGCATAAACTTATGCAATGTAATCAATTATTAATATGTTTATCTCATTCAGTCAATCTTCTTACTAGTAATTATATAAAAAATAAAATGCATACCTCTAATAAAGATCTTTATGAAAATTAATATTTTGGCTCATGGTAATATTAACTCTTTGACACCTTAAGCCTCCTCTAATATTGATCTTCAAATCATGCCAATTTCTTTTCCTTGTATCTTCATTGTGCGAAATATAAATTTCTCATAATTGCTTTTAAATTGTTATAAAAAATAAATAAGAGAAAAGAAATAATATAAAAGAATTTTAGTTTTGAGACGTGAAGAACACTTTCTTAAAGATAATAATGCCTTTAGGATACAATAAAACTTCAAACTCTCCAATCAAAAATAATAAAAATGGTTGTACTGAAAGATTTATTTATAATGAACGAACAGACATAAACTTCTATTTAGATGGTTATGATATTCTGTATAATCATGAACTTTATGAATAATAATTATTTTTATTCAAATATAATTATTTAAAATATGAATAAAATTAATATAAAAATTAATTTAATTCATAAATAATTAAATCTTTCTATCCAATATAAAATACATCATATTCTAAACTACTAACAAAAATTATGTTAGACAGTGATAATCCTAGCTATTTCATATTATAACATGTCCAAAAATTGTTAATAGTCTGTAACTTAAATGCTACCGTAAACTTTGTTTTCATCATTGCAAATGTGCATAGATGCTAGTGGATACGGAAATAAATGCATCATCGGCGTATTCATATTATAATAAATTAAGAATTAATATTATAAATAATTTTTAAACTATAATAAAATATTTAATATAATATTTAAATTAAAAAATTAATATAAAATTAAAATTACTAATTATTAATTAATATGATATTTATTTTTAATATCAGTAATTTTTTGTAATGACATATAATTAATAAATAAATGTTCAAATATCAAATAAAAAATTTTAAAATTTAAATACCAAATCCAATATTTTATTATAATTTATAAATTATTTGTGATATTATCTCATAAATTAACTAATAAGTGAGATACAGTTACGGATTAATTTGACATTAATTTGATAAACCTTGAAAACTGTAGACGCGATGGCGTCGTTGCAAATAATATATTTATCAAAATAAGAAAGAAAAAAGCAAACGCTTGAAATACAACTATACATGACAAGGCACTTATAGAAGAGAGACAAAAAAACAAGAGCGACGAAATTATTGGGTAGGATAAGAAACGTGGAGGATGGAACTTCAATTAAATATTGCAAAGTAGATGTCCCAGGGTACTTGAAGTTTATTTATTTATTTTAAGCTTTGAGGTCTTTTTAAACGAGAAAACAAATATTTTAATCTGACTTGTGAGTTAATTTGTTTTCTAATTTTAAAATTCTAAAAAAGATTGTTTTATTACATAATTTAGCGTAGCCATTCCCCTTTATAACAACGTTAATTAGGTAGAAGGGGAAAATGTATATGTATGATATTAATTTTTCAACCTTCCACCTTTCCTTTTGTTAAGAAAAATAGAAAATGAAAAAAAAAAAAAAAAGGAGAGGATAATTTATTATGGTCGAATTAAAATGGCTATTAAAGTTGGGCACAGGGGCAAATTGTAGATGGCAATCCCGCATTTTCAGGAATTGCGTCCATTTTTTAGAGTTGAGACCTAAGATTAAAGGTCGTGTTATGTTTTATAGAACTCCATAACCCAACAATCACATACAAAGCACTCAAATTCGACGCTGTTAAATCCGGCTTCAGTTGCCAGTGCCATGAATTCTTGTTTTGTTCGCTCTTTCCCACCTGGGTTTTGAGTCATCATTTGGGCATCAAGTAGGAAGCTGGTCTTTGCTGAAGGAGTAGTCTCGGGCGTGGCAGGAATTACAGAATCTACAACAATTACTTTGCCATTATCAGGAATGGCTTTGTAGCAGTTCTTCAACAATCTCAAACAATGCTCATCGCTCCAATCATGGAGAATCCACTGCATTCCCATTGACACAAGATTAAAACTGGAATGCATGCCTATGTTCTAGATTCAAGTCAATTCAAAGACTCCAATAACTTACCCTCATAAAGATGGCATCTCCTTCTGGAACACTTTCAAACATATCTCCAGCAACATGTTGAACACCTATGGTTGAAATTCCAAAGGAAGATTCCTTAGTATGTAATAGTCTTAATTAATCAAAATTATATATAGCTAGGTTTACGAGATATAGAAGCTATACCAGGATAGGATGGGGCATGCTGTATAACATGAGGCAAATCGAAGTTAATGCCCTTGATATTGGGGTATTTGGAAGTGATGTAGTGAAGTGTGATACCAAGGTTGCCACCAACATCAACCAGCTGCTTGATGCCTTCAAAACCCTTATAAGACTCGAGAATTTTCTTCATGACTACGGTACTTATATTGAACATTGCTGCATTAAAAACTTGATTGAACCTAGCATCCAATCCTGGGTACTCGAAGGCATTTGTTCCATGCGCCCTGTTGAATGCGATTCCTCCTCCTAAAACTGCATCTTTAAGTTGAGACCTGTATGCAGATATTAAACATTAATTAGCTATAATTAACTATATATATTCCTCGAGTGAAACTTTACCCACTCTTTTTATTGTAGCCTAAACTCAATTAATTACTTTCGTATGTACAAATAATAAATCCATTAAATATATTTTTTAATTTTCTTTCGAGGGTGATTGGTAAAGCAAAGATAGTTGGATTATGCATGTGTTGAAGGAATCAACTCGCACGAATTTTAAAATAATCAAACAAGAAAACTAATACCGTTAGTAAATCAAGACTATTTTGTCAAGTCAAATTTTGATGAAAAAAAAAAAAGTAGTCTATGAAAAGATGAAACGGACGGACCAGCTATCCAAGAAGACTTTGTCTTGAACCAGGGCCATGACAGGGGCTAACGACACTCCATCTTGGTTACGCACAAAGTAGTAAGAGACAGCGGACAAAGTGTAGAGTCTCTCAACACCAACCACAGAGCAACGCAGCACATCGTGGCTAGCCAAAAGCCTAGCAATCCGATCCACCATGATTGCCGCATCCTGGTTCTTGGTGGGCATCTGCGCTGCAATATCGGTGGCCGAGAGTTTGGCACCCGGACCTGCTTTAGCGATTATCTCGAAAATGCCAAGCTCCCATGCCGTTTGCAAGGCCATGTGTAGCACTGATCCCATCACAAGCTGCATTGCAAATGAATAAGTTTCATTCTCCTCTTCACCAGCTGCTTGGTATGGTTCTGTCGAAGAAGTCATTTGGTTGTTCAATCTTTTCAATTAAGACTTGCTCCCTGGATTGCTGAATTTATGCGATGTTAATCGATTTCCTTCCCAGACTGTTCTGGTTAGATTTGTCACTATGAGCTGCCGAATACGACGGATGCAATTTATCTTTGATCTTATATTAAGAAACTTGAGAAAAAAGGTATGATATATAACAATTTTATAGCTGTCATTCGTTGGACGTTTAAGACAATTTGGTATCAGCTTGTTTTCTTCAGTTTGAAATGGTAAACACAAATAAAAAAATAAACATGTCTCAATCATGCAAGGCGTCAAAAGATTCCCCCGAAAGAGCAACGAACATGAAAAACATTATCAAGAAATGTTGAAAATTAGTTTGCGTAAAGACTGGGCAATTTATAAATTCAAAATAATTAATGATGGGTGGCTTTTTTCTAAAATGACGACTAATAATTCGCTTTCTTACCTACTTTCCTCATTATCTTAACTAATGTCTAAGAACATATCAATTGCCACATACAAGCACTATTTCTCATGCACTTAATCACTACTTTAACATTATCCAATCTTCTATTAGAATTTTTAGAACAAAACTTTATACGCAACCTAATATTATTGATGTCCTAGTTTAACATTAGTTATATTTGGTAAAAGAAAAAAAAATTAATCAAGTGATTAAACTACAGTAAAAATGTGTGCTGTTTTGCGGGTGAGACCAACCACATAGCCTGTTCTCTTTTTATGAGTCATCCTAACTACATTGATAGCAAGTCAATGGACAACGTTTGCCATGAATACTAAATCAAGTAGAAATTGACATAGATACAAACTTATGGACTTTACTAAATCTGCACAATTGACGGTATAATTATCTATGCACTGTTCTACACTGATTGCGTAATTTTAGTATAGTGAAGTAACTGTTTACACAGTGAAATTTATATCAATGAATACCCTCACCTCTTGTAAGATTTGATTCAAGCAATATAATCAAAATGTAGTCTTTCAATTTTCAATCAAATACATTTGAGCTTAGCCAAATTGTTAAAATTGCTCATAAACAAGATGAAGGGTTGATTCTCTTACCACTAACTACAAGGCTATATTAGTAAAATCAGCTGACTGGTTACATTAACCTTTTCTTTCTCCCTGAAAGAAAAACAAAAATCAATGTAAACCCACAACAGATCAAGATTAAACTATTAAAATCATGCGATAAGGCAGCTGAATCACAATCAAGTACCCTAATGTTCATGTTCTTCATTTAGCTTTAAATTCTAATTCTATAACTTCTAAAGTAATTAAAACTGAAAATGATAAGTTTAAGACCATTAATCACTTTTTCGATTCCGAAATTACCTATTTAGCATATAAATAGTAGTAGTATTTATCTCACATATCCCTTTCATCTTTTAAAGTAAATATGACATAAGTGATTACCTACAAATTTTGTTGCAGCCGCGTCAGTTTCTGGTAACATGAAGCCAGGCTTCCTTCCAGCGTATCAACCTTCTCGTCCTGCTCTTCGAGATGTAAATCAATGAACGCCCTCTGCTCTCGGAGACTTTGGTTCACGTGGGCCGTGAGTGAAGCCGCGATACCCACTCACAAGGTCTTCAAAGTAGAACGGCTCTTTGGCAGCTTTTAAGGAAGATCCGAAGGCTTTCAAGAGGGGTATCATCTTTTGGTGTGAAAATTCATAGAATGCGGCTGCCGGCTCATGGTTTCACTGCCAAGCCCTGGGAGCGTCTAGGGCTTCTTAGAATGATGTTTGAATATCCAATGGCTTTTAGGTTGGGTTTTGGGCTTTGTTTGTGTGGGTTTTGAGATTTTTATGACTTTTTAGGTCGGACTTTTTTAGAAAAGAATTTAGGTTGTTAAGGAGAAATTGTTTAATTAATTTTTTTAATTATTAATGGGTTGCATAAAATGATAAAATGCCTGATTAATTTTGAAACAAATTAATTCAGAGGACTACACTATGAATTGAGTCTTTATTTCTAGAAATTAAAAGCATGCCCTTGCATCTCATAGTAAATATATGGTACATAATTGAAGATAAAGATCTTACTATTTCAAAAATAAACGACAAAGGTCCTAAGTTTTAAAATCCCTAGACGCGTTTGAACGTTAAGCCGCCGTTTCCAGAACTTCTGGTAGAATTCACTGTACGAATAGCTCCTGTAGAAAGGACAATGATGGTTGTCGATCAGTTGCGGGGCTGGTCGCATCATGGCGTCGGGTGATGGGCAGTAGAACGTTGGAATGGAGATTCTCTCCTCCTTGCAATTCACCAATGCCCCGTGAAGCACGCTCTTGTAACGATCATTACCAAGTACCTAGTTAACTAAATAGCTCAGAAGGTAACTATATATAATATAGCTTTTGCTCCTACTAATATTTTCTCTGTCTTCAATTAATTTCTTGAACTAATTCGGGCAGACCTTGATCCTTTAACATGATTTGTCTTGCTATCTGCAATTCAGATTGCAGGACAACGATAGCATCGACAATGTCCTCATATTTATGTCCCTTCGTCCTCCAGTACAGGAGATACCATCATGCAACTCAACAATGAAAAATCATGACAAAATATTATAAATTGACAAACATGATGGGCCGGTACCTTAAACTATTGTTTTTCAGGTTTTTTTTTTTTTTTTTACAGTAGAAGGCGTAGCCAGTAGCTTAGGGATAAAAATAGGGTTGTAAATGTTACAGAACTCTAAACTTACTGAATTGCTAATCTTTTAAGAGTGACCACATGTTACCCTTTAGTCCATTTAATTTTAACATGTTATCCAGGATTTAAATAACGGTTGGATAATGGTGTAGTGATCGTTATTTCGCAATCGCGTCACTATTCATCACCGCTGTTAAAAAAAATGAGAAAGAATTTAAATTTCATTTATAGTGGATGAATCACGATCGTGAATTGCAATGTAACAGTGAATAGCGATGATAACAGTCGTTATTGTCCGTATTATCGCTTGTTGACACTATTCTTATTTTCATTAAAAATTCAAAAAAAAATCATTTGATTTTGTTTAAAAACTTAAAATAAAAATAACAAGAAAGAAAATAAACATCAATTTACAAATTCAGAAAAAAAAAAAACCCACAAAACTTAAACTTTCAAAAAAATCAATTATCTCAAGTTCAACTTCAATCAAAATCAAATATATGCAATTTAAAGCAAGCAATTAATTCAACACTCAAATTATCTTTTTTTTTTTAATTTTGAAAATTTTCATGATTTTGTGTGTTTGAGATTAGATTGAGCTATGGGAGGCAGGATGTTACATTGATAGAAGGAGGCAGGAGTTGCTGGGACTTAAAATAAGATACAAGAGATGAGAGTGAAACTTGAGATTGACAGAAGCAAGCAGATAGCACACACTAAATAAAAAGAAAACTAAGAGATGGGATGAGGATGAAAGTTTGGAGAAAAAAATTATTGAATGCAAGGTAAAGGGATGAGAAGTTGTGTGGGTCTGTGCAATTTAGTCAAGAGATAGGAGAAGTAGATTTGAGGTTATTATTGTTAAAAATCACCCACAACATGGAGGCTGCCAAGTTTAATTTATTGTACGTTCATAAAAAATAATTCTTTTGACTCATAAATAATAATGTTTTTACTTAATTTATGAATATCTAATCACTTATTATTTAATTTATGCATAATATAGTTCGGTAATAATTTGATGAGTACGGTAATTAAATAATTAAATACATTATTCGTTATGATTATTTATTTTTCACATGTTTATTTATCTCTTGTTATTTTTTAATTATCATATAAATAATTTTTTAAATATGAATATTTTACTGTAAATATTTTTTCTTAAATAAATAAAACACATGATATGATATAAATTACTTTAAAAATCATAAAATAAAAGGTTTTATGATTAATAATTAAAATTATTATATTTTATAGCAAGTTGAGCAAAATTTAAAAAAATTCACGACCGCAATAGCTGCAATGACTGCGAAGGTCTCCATTATATCCTCAATCGTAACAAACGCGATGCGACTGAAAACGTGATCGCTATCGTAATTTAAATCCCTGCATGTCATCGATTAAGCTTCATATGGCTAACTTCCTCCTTTTTATACTGGATTGATAATTTGTCAACTATCACCAAGCATAAAAAGAAACTCATAATTACTGGTGCATGACAAATCTAGGACATCTTATATATGTATGCTGTATGCACTAATTCTTTAACCTGTATCTGGTCACCAATATTGATAATAAAGGGTATGGAATGGGGTTGACAGCAATCCACTTTCCATCTTTGAGCACCTGCAAAGCAGGCACGTCATCTTGAAGGAGAATGGTAATAATACTAGGATCAACATGACCAGGTAAGCCATAAGTCAGCTCTGGCGCGGGACAGGGTGGATAGTAGTTGATAGCCATGTGCTGCGCATGCTTTCCAAGTGCAGAATTGATATAAGCCCTTTCCAGACGTAACCTTTCGGCTATTGCTTAGAGCAGTCTCAGTGCCAGCCCTCTGGTATTCTTGCAGTACTCAGCAGCATCTTCTTTGTGGAACAAGAAAGGAAAAGGAATAACTTAAGTAACATAATTGGAATTTGTTAGAGATTTATTTGAGATTTGTCAGATATTGCTTTATGGATAAGAAGACTTACAAAAAGAGAATTCTAAGAGAAAGAAAATTCTTAATAGGTAAGTTTGACTTGCAAGAGAAGAATTCTAAGAGGAGAAGGATTCTTAATGGGCAAGTTTGTATGGTTATAAATAGATGAAGTCTCTACAGGGTTAGGTATGAGAAAAAGATGTAAGAGAGTTATAAGGTTTTGTGGGATAGACACCCCATAAGAGTATTTGGGCTCTACATCTTATGGGTGTGTATGTTTGTTTGTGAGTGGACTAAAAGAGATTGAAAGAGTCCACATAGGTATGGTGTATGGGAGCATATGGGTATGTGTTTGGTTATGTTGAAAGGGTGCCCAAGAGTTTGGGTTTATGTTTGTTTGGGTAGATAATACTTCATAAGACTAGAGAAAATTGAGAGTGTCTTATGAGTATTGATTGTTGAGTGAGGTTGATGATTTGATGTATGTTTATAATTCTCTATAACTAGTGGATCTTGTTTCTTATCCGTGGATGTAGGTCAGTTGAACTGAATCACGTTAAATTGTTGTCTCTTGTGTGTTTGATTTATTGTTTGATTTCGCTTCCGCTAATGTGATTGGATTGGAGGCTTTTAGCCCAACAAATGGTATCAGAGCTGTGGTGTTCCCCAACAAGTGGTATCAAAGCTGAAAGTTTGAAACGTGAGAAGAGTCAAATATTTGAGATGTGGGAAGAGTTGATAGTTCGAGACATGAGAAGAGTTGACAGTTCGAGATATGGGAAGAGCTTGGTTTGAGATATGAGAAGAAGTAAGCTTAGAGGAGCTCGATTCAAGAGAAGAGTTTGAGTTCAAGTTTTGAGGATTAATTTATATGAAGCGTTAAGACACAAGAGAAGAGAAGATGATTGTGAGACTTTCATTATAGGTGGAGCCAAGCATGTCTAGTATGAAGATAGATGATTGATAAAATTTGAGTCAAGGTGGAGATTGTTGGGAATATTGACTCAAATCCTATAAGAGATTTGTTTGGGATTTGTTAGAGATTTGTTTGAGATTTATCAGATATTGCTTGATGGACAAGAAAACTTACAAAAAGAGAATTCTAAGAGAAAGAGGATTCTTAATAGGTAAGTTTGACTTGCAATAGAAGAATTCTAAAAGGAAAGGGATTCTTAATAGGCAAGTTTGACTTACAGGAGAAGAATTCTAAGAGGAGAGGGATTCTTAATGGGCAAGTTTGTATGGTTATAAATAGATGAAGTCTCTACAGGGTTAGGTATGAGAAAAAGATGTAAGAGAGTTATAGGGTTTTGTGAGATAGACACCCCTAGGAGTATTTGGGCTCTACGTCTTATGGGTGTGTATGTTTGTTTGTGAGTGGACTAGAGGAGATTGAGAGGGTCCACATAGGTATGGTGTATGAGAGCATATGGGTATGTGTTTGGTTATGTTGAAAGGGTACACAAGAATTTGGGTTTGTGTTTGTTTGGGTAGAGAATACTTCATAGGACTAGAAGAGATTGAGAGTGTCTTATGAGTATTGATTGTTGAGTGAGGTTGATGATTTGATGTATGTTTGTAATTCTCTATAACTAGTGGATCTTGTTTCTCATCCGTGGATGTAGGTCAGTTGGACTGAACCACGTTAAATTATTTCTCTTGTGTGTTTGATTTATTGTTTGATTTCGCTTCCGCTAGTATGATTGGATTTGAGGCTTTTAGCCCAACAATATACCCTTAAAGTTAATATATAACTTCTTGTAGAACCTGAAATATGGAGGGTTGGTTGGCCATTCATGAACATAGTCCTCTAAAGGGAAGCAATAGAGTCTTAAGTAATCCCTCCATTTTGATACATTCTCAGTGTGATCGGTGGGGAGTTTCTGTTTTGAAAGCGATGCAAAAGAAATAGAGGAAAGAAAATTGCAATAAGTAGAAGTATCATTAGGTACTCAAATTCTATCATTGGAATTGAGATAAGAACTTTTTTTCTCTTTCGAGTTTATGCTTAGATTTTTCCTTTTCTCTTTTGAGCTTATGCTTAGATTTTCATTTTTTGACTCTTTTTATAAAGTCTGATTTAGTCGACAAATGTCGTAATTAGAAAAATATCACATAATAATATAAAATATAGATAGATACTTATGTTATATGATATGAAAAATTAGTTAAAAAAGTTGCATGTGTTATATACAAAGACTATACAAGTCGACAATATTGACAGAAAAGATAGTTCAATTTAATGAGATAGTGCTTTTAATGCCACACTTTTGGGTAAATAAGAAATAAATATCATGAAAATTTAAATATGATAATTTATGTATTTAAATATTACATTGCACATTTGATAGCACACTTTTAAGTAGGTAAGAAATAAATATTATGAAAAATTAGAGAGGATAATTTATATATGTAGACACGACACCATGCTTTTAATATTATATTTTTTGTTAGATAAAAATTAAATATCTTAAAGAATTAGATATGATAAATTATGTATTTATATTTATTTATTTTGTATTTACGAAAACTGTCGTATCATTCACGTTGAAACTTGTAGAAAGTCTTGTCGTCTTCGTAGGATCATCAGAGTAATTCTTCAATCGCTCACTCTCCGGCAAATGGAAGAAGTCTTTTGAGACATGCAACATCTTAGCATGAAACGCCATGGTTTTTAACCTTCACAGATAACAAAACAAATTACTGAAATGTAATTAATGCTAACCCTGGATAAATTTTTTTACAGGGAATTAAATTTATAGTAAAACAAAAGAAAATAAAGGACTGCACAAATGAAGTTATCATCATACCTGAAAGAAACCATAGTTTTGACATGCTTCGCCAATCTCCTTGATAACACTAGAGTGGTTTGGACCATAAAGGCCTTGGAGATCAACGAGAGGGATGGAATGATCAAAAGTAACCACATTGAGGTTTGGACGATCAGATTCAGGTCGAATGTAATTTGGAGGAACAGAGCTCACCGTAGGTACAAGGTCAGTTAACAGTGGCTTCATTGTTGTAGTCATCGGAGGAATTTATGATAGTACTTCTATCCTGCCTTGTCAAACTTCTGGGATGGTCTTGATGATGGTAAACTAACAAAATTATAGAGCGCTGAGGCCTAGAAATCATGAAATTGCGGGCTTAAATTCTTGGGATAGATAAAGGTAAATGAATTGCCTGGTTGAACAAGCAGAACAACAGTTACAATACGAGAGACAAATCATTTGATGCGTCCAGCATGGTGTTATTTCTACTGTTAGAGGTTAAATCATCTCTGCCTCATAGGGCCTCCTTATGGATGGCTAAGAAATCTGTTCAAAAAGTGTATTAAAATAGTTATCTTTTCAAGAGTTATAATTTTTAAATTATATGGATTGATTCAATCAATTTATTTTTTTGGTTGAATTCATATTTTGTGAAATTCAAAAGATGACATTTGTAACATTTTACAAGTAAAAAATTCTCTATGAAAGAGATTTAAATAGATTTGAAATGAGACTAATCGTTACAGTAAATTATCAGAAATTTGAACAATGACTGTCAAAATGCCTTAAAATGGCATTCAAATGACTTTTTGTATTTTTTGTTTTAAAGCAGCTTATAGGCGTAGCATTCAAATGCCATTTTTTAGCATCCAAATGGCTCATTTTTAGGCATAACATTTGAATGTTACTGGCCGGACACCTGAATGTCTTAGTGTAAAATTAAAACAAAAATTATTTTTCACATAAAATTTGAATTCACATGCACAGGCATTCGAATGTCTTATATTGGAGGTTTCTCCATGTTTTAAAATGATTTTTTCTATTTGGAACCTTTCCAAAACTATTATATAGTTTCTTAATCATTAATTTCTTATTCCATCGATTAATATTTATTTTACTCAATTAACTTTATTTTTTACTATATTTTTAAAATATTTAAATGTAAAGTAAGTTAATATACTATTTATAGCAATAATATTGTATTAAATATAATAATTGATAATTTTATTCATCATTTTCAATACATTGGATGAAGATACGATGATGTTCGTGTCTGGTAGAGATTTGACATACAAGTCAAGCTTGAAGACTGAAAAACAGTTCAGTCTTCAAACGCTGTTTAATTGTAATCAAAGCCAATAACTAATCTCAATTATAAACTGCAGACAACAAAAAGGTAAACGCCAAAACCGGAAAAAGATTGAAGAGCAACAAAGGAAAAAGAAAAAGCCATTACTAACATTGTCAAAGTTTCCCGATGAAAAACAATGAGCTTTGCATCAGGGCTTACGAAAGGTTTCCCCCTGTTCGTAGTCTAGTCAGTTTCATGAAGGAATAACGTCATCCGGTCATCGTCACCCAAAGCACGCGCAGCAAGAATAGTGCTAGTCGACCCTCCAGTCTTATAAAATCTACGAATTTATGGCAGATAAAATTATTTACAGTAATTAATGATTTTTGTTGTCGCATTTGGACCGACAAATAGTATGAACAAAAGTATTAGATGAAGAAATGTTTCCCAATTAACCACTAAATGGGAGAATTGAAACTAACTTTTTCAGTTAATTGACAAGATTAATTTCTTTGGTGTGGCGACGTTTTGAAAACCAAGTTTTTATATTGGTCCAACTTTTTTATGCTAACCAAAATAAAACTTCGGCCCATGTACTTGGGGGTGTTACGTTAATGGACGTTGACCCATATCTATTTATCTAGAGCTTTCCACGTTCTTCATGTTCGGATTGCTGATGGCCCATTGGATCCAACCTTTTTTCTTTCTTTACCATAAACAGATCCATCATAAAACAAGATAAAGGGTTGATTCTCCTACTAGTAACTCTGCAAGGCTTTATAAGAAGTGAAAGCACCTGACTTGCTCCCTTAACCCTTTCTTCCTCCATGAAAGAAAAACCATAATTAATCTAAACCCACAACAGATCAAGATTAAACTATCAAAATCATACGACGAGGCACGTGAATCAAAATTAAGTACCCTAAATATTCATGTTCTTCATTTGGCTTTCAAGCTAATTAAGGCTGATTACTACACTAGCCTACCTCCTAGGTGGATGTACAAAAATTAATATTCAGTAATTTAATTAGTTAAAATATATGTAACAAAATGATTATAGAAAAGCTGAGAAAAAAATGATTATAGAAAAAGAAAATAGAGGTAATGCCAGTTTTTTTCGATTATGGGAAGGGGAGAGAAAAATTACAAATACAAATATAGTATGGTTGGTGGTGAAAAAAAATAATATCGTTATTTATATGGACACACATGAAATTATTAAATTTTTAATGTACAAAAGAATTTGTAATTTAAAATTAAAAAAATTATAACTTAAAATATTAAATTTAAAATTTATAAACTATCATTTTTTAAAAATAATTATATAAACAAATTGAATAAAATTTAAAATTCGCTAAACATTTGCTTTTAACTTCATGATCTAATTAACTCATTTGAGTTTGAAATATTAATAATTTTATATCAATAAGAAAATTTTCCTAAACTAAACCATGTCATCAGAAAAGGCATTTTTTAGATGAAAAAGGCAAAGTAGGAAATCCAAAGCACTAATTCAGTACTTAGCATTAATAGCCGACAAAATCATATGATTTGACAAAAGCAAAAGGATGATAATAATTCTATGCGCTTTAACAATGCTTGACCATAAATTGCAGTTCTTTGGGAACTTGACTTCTCGGAGTCCTCGGGAACATGTGCATTTCGGTATTACCATATATATATATATATATATAATATAACATGTGCGTTTTGGTATAAGTACCATCATCTATTACTATATATATAAAATTATAATAGCAATAATAATTTAAAAAATATTTTTTTATTATTATTATCTATACCTGTATGTTAAAGTAACTTTCTAATTGGAATAGTGGTTGAGGCCTAATTATAATTTTTAGGTATTTGCTTCATTTTTTGAAAGCCTTCAATTAATTTTTTTTTGGATATTTGCTTATTTTTTAAGAAAATGAAATAAAAATGCAATTATATTATTTGTTTATTTTCTTTCTAATTATTATGAATATATATTCATTTATATAAATTTTTAATCAATTTAGTGAGCAATAATTTAAAAATTAATAATAATTGACCAACATAAATTAAACTTAATAATGAAAGTTGATCTCCTGTCCTTTCGTATCAATGAAAATGAACTTTTGGACAAATGATTATTAAATGACCCATTGGATCTATTTGTGTAGAGCTTCCCACATTCTTCATGTCAAGCCCATCCTTGTAAACTGTTTTCTCCCCAATTTAGATGGTCCAAAGTCCACCCCTCCCCAACAAAAGGGAAGGATGGATAATTGGAACTTTTGAAGCATGAACCTATTTTCACAATGATTTTATTTTATTTTATTTATTAGTCTCAATTATTATGTAAGCAGAGAGATGGGATTCATAAGTTTTTAAATAAATAGATGTGATTAATATGCATCAAAGAAAAAATACACGAAGAAAAAAATATTTATGCCCAATAAATTAACAATTAAGTCAATTTATTAATCTCTTTCTTGAAACATTCACGTACATTGTATTCGAGATCAACAAATTAGTTAAAATTGTGAGTCGCAATGACAACTAATTTCGGACTACAAATACAAACAATCTCAAAATTAAAGTTTACCTTTTTTAAAAAATATTATCATATTTAATTTATATAATTATTTTTAAAAAATAATATTTAATATATATAAATTTAATTTTTGAATTTGGTGAAACTTTAACTTTATTTAAAAATGTAAACGAATTAAATATAAACAAATATAATTATATTTGTAATATGTTTATTTAATTAATAAATTATGAAATATTTGTGATTTTTTATTAAATTTAATAAATAAATAAAAATTAAATATATTTATGAATAATTCAATAAACGTTTTATTAATTTTTATAAATAAAATTTACATTATTTATTTAATTAACAAATTTTAAAATATTATTTATAATAAACGACCAAAAACTAAATATATCATCAGCTGTACAACTTTATCGACTCCTATGTGCCGACCTTTGCAAATGCTCGAAAAGATTTTTGTTTTATCCCCAAAACCTTCGCGGCACCGCACGAACCACAAACGTCGCACTTGACATCCAGTCCCCTCTCTTCTCGTGCTTCCTGCCCCCATTACACGGGACTCCACATCTGCCCCCCAACCGCCACGTACCGGTTACCCATGCCACGCTGGCGCAAAGCCATCCTCTTTTTCATACTTGTCCGTACGGACGCACCGGGAAAAACCAGCAGGCAGCAAAAGTCCGCGTCACCGGCGGGCCCCACATGGCATAGCTGGAGACGCTTTTTCAGACTGAACCTCACAGTATGGGAACTTGTGGCCGAGATTTGAAGCCAGAGCCCAAGTGCAAAAATAAAAAAAATATATATAAGGGAAAAAAAACGCAAGGTGAGCTTTACATAAATCAGCCACTAACGTACTGCCACTTGGCAACATCAGTGCGTCTCTCGGTTGGTTTACCGTTCACTCTTTTGCGGCCTCAAATTAAACTAGCCCAAAATTTGTATTTTTTTAGAAAAATAAATCCACAAGAAATTGTAGTGGCTGAGATTTCTCCTTTCTTCTCCCTAACTGTACTTTCACCCAAGTTTTAGGTCTCACCGAAAAGTAGCTGGGTTTCACTTCTGTTATGCATCTTCGGTTTTCTCTTACAAATCATTTCTCCTTACCCAAAAAATTGTTTTAAAAAATTCTGTTGATTCCGACCTACTAATTGCCTGAAACTATGAGTTCTCCAACAGGTATCTGGTGAACTCGTTTTTCATGCGTGATTGTTGCTTCCAGAGTTCTCATCCTCCATGGCCATCTCTCAAGGTATTTCCACCTCATTTCTAGGGCTTTCCTTCTTTACTCTCCGTTTGGTTGCCCCTAAAATTATTCGTTTTCTGAAAAACTTTACTCAGCTATGTTTAAATTGATGTTGTTTATACACAGTTGAGTAGACCGAGACAAGAAAATTAATTGCTTTTTATTTTCTTGTCAACCAAACAGAAGGTAATTTTTTTTTAATTTTAGTTATTTTAAATTGATGTTGTTTATACACAGTTGAGTAGACCGAGACAAGAAAATTAATTGCTTTTTATTTTCTTGTCAACCAAACAGAAGGTAATTTTTTTTTTTTAATTTTAGTTATTTTGGCTGTTAAAACGGCAAAGTTTTGCATTTGCTGAAGGGATGCATGTGGAAGTATGTTGTTGATTACTAATTAAAGTTTTTCTGTCATTTCTCGAAAGGTTTTGGCGTCTACGGGTTCGTTTTGGTGAGGATTCTGAATAAAGGAATTTTCTTTTAAGTTCTTTGGAAGAAGCCGTCTCTTCTCTCTGTTACGGTGGATACTTAAATTTTTTTTTATTTCAGTTTTCCAGAGATTTAACTTTCATCCAAAGTTTACTATGTGATTAAATAAAATAGTTATGAAAATGTAAATATTTATTATATTATGATTATGAGTGATGAGAAAGTAATATAAATTGGAATAGTATTAAAAAACAGAGACGGATCTCTATCGATTGTTGTTGGCTTTTGTGTTTTGCAGTAGTAAATAGCTATCATCAGGTTTTGTGGAGTTCAAAAACGGCTTTATTATTTGTACTATTGGATGTGGAAAGAAATGAAAGAAGGTTTGTGTTATACCCATTGGTTGTTAGAGAGGATTTGAAGCTGCGGTAACGCTGCCGAGGTCCTGTCGATGGACACCTACTTCTCTGGAGAAGAACTCGTCATTAAGGTATTAATTATCAAAATAAATTGAACTTTTCTTTTGAATTATGCTTGTTGGAATGGTAAAAGTGGAGTTTTTATTGTTATAATCTCAACTATTGAATTTTCATGTTGAATGGCAGACTAGGAAGCCTTATACTATTACCAAACAACGTGAACGATGGACCGAGGAGGAGCATAATAGGTTCCTAGAGGCCTTGAAGCTCTATGGACGAGCTTGGCAACGCATTGAAGGTTTTCACTTGTTTTTCCCTTTTAGTTTTGGTTTTTTTGGGTGAAAAACAGAAATATTTCAGTTGCTGCTGTCATTTCAGAACAATTGTTATTGTGGATTGAGGCCAAGATTTGATGGATATGTCTGTTAGGACTGACATATGAAATGCTTTTGTTATCTATCATCTTAATTGGAGATCTGTCTCTTTTCTCATTCCTGTTTTACTTGGTGATTTACAGAACACATAGGAACAAAGACTGCCGTGCAGATCAGGAGTCATGCTCAAAAGTTCTTTTCGAAGGTCATTTGATACCTTCTTGCTTATGCTTATATTCAACAGATTTTTCTGCTTCTTAACCTCTGTTTGTGCTTGAAATATATGAAATATTGATCCTCAATTGCACTATCTGGAACGGTTGGGAAATGTTACTGATTTTTCTCTACTTTATATAGTTTTTTCCCCTTACTTTTATAAAGCAATTTTGTTGATTAAAACAACAAAGGGAATATAATAGGTTCACCTGGCACATACAAGTAACAGATTGAGGAGAAAGAGTTAATACCTAATATATGTAGAGATTACATAGCATTCTGTGTCAAAAACATTAGTAGCATATCAGTGATCAAATTTATAACCAATTATGTGAAGAAGCACACTGGAGTTTATTTATTATATCTGGAAAAGGCGGCAACCTTGAGCTAGATGAGCATCTAAGCTGTTAATACTAATTTAGCATATCACATTTAGGGTGATAGCCTTTCGCCACTCCACAAGTTTATTTTGCTTTTGTGGAGATGTCAGCTATTTAAATTCTATTTAGTTGGTCTCGGTGCAAGATTGGCCATTAGATGTGTGCAAGGAAGTTTTGTTATCATTGGAGTCTGATCTATCTGAAAAGAAAAGAGCGTGTTCCATTTTTTAAGTTGTTTTAAATGGCTACTTTCTTGTAGGAATTTCACTAGCTTTTTATGCACAAGGCATCCACTTGTCTGGTCACTTCTGAACTTGTGATGCAATTTTGTACTTAATCTACCAGGGCAGAGGTTTCGGAATTCAATATATTTGGTTTTTTGGCACATAAGAATCATGTAGGTACATGTAGTTTGATTTGTATAGAGAGTGAAATGCACCCATCATGAGGTAGTAAGAAGTGAAGTTGAGCTAAGCCCAACTACCATGTTCTTCATTGCTAGATTATGCCCAGATTTTGGCTCTGCTCCAGATTGAATTCTTCAGCATCCATGGGTAGCATGTCAGTCATAGGCAGTTAGGATTACCAATTAGTTTATCCTTCATGTGTAGATTATCTCAAGGTTTTGAATAGCTAGCACCTTCAATTTTAGGATAATTTTTTGTTAAAGCGTTTGTAATGGCAAGTTTCACATCCATTCAAGACAATATCTAAAGAGCTTTTGTCTTTTCTTCATTTTATTGCCCACTTTGCGATGTCTTCTTTATGTGGTATTAGTTTAAAATTTAGTTTAAGGTTGTTTCATATTTTATCCAGCAGGAGGTCTTGATGAACTTTCACCAAAAGGATTTTTTTTTTTTTTGAGTCAAGATGTGTTTGAAGATGTTGACCTACATTAAGCTGGAATATGTTGAGGAGTAGTTAATGCTAGCAAGGATGTCACGTGTCTTATGGTGAAACATATAATTTGTTGGATTCTAGGGTGAGTTGAGGTGTTTAGATTAGTGGTGTGAAATCTCTTTAAATGTTAACAACAATCTCCGAGTTTGAATAAGAGACTCATTAGATCTAAAATATGAATTTTCTTTTTCTTTCCTTCCATTTGTGGGAATTGGGAGAGTTTGGAATGCAGGATAGGCTACTCATTATGGCTGAGGATCATCATACATCTATAAAGATAAATCATTTATGACACAGACCTAATGTCATTTTTTTGGTGATGAGGAACTTAAAATACTGATCCACATATTTTACGTTTCATCAAAAGATGAGTGCTAATTGAGAACCATATTATACCTACTAGGTGATAATACTGGGATCAACAGAGGACCTTAAGTTTTGCAGCCAAGCTTAGGAGCGGCTGCTTGGGTGTCTGTTAGGTATGCTTTATAGCTAATTATGATGCTAGACTTAAGTTATGCATCTTGGGTATATTTCACTTACAATTCTTTTTACTACAATCCTACAATTATCCAATCACAATAAAGAATTATGTAGGGGTCCGTCACTTATAAGCGTTGGCTCCATATAAAATTTTAGTGGATCCCACACAATTTTCAATTGTGATTGATTAATTGTACTACAATCATCTTTGGTAATGTGCTCCCATGCATATCATAGGTCCATCTGAAGAGATTATTCTTCTTTAGTGAATGTGGTATGCTTCTTTTTTGGTTTTTGCCACAATATGGTATACATCTACAGTGAAAGGAATGACTCAAGAAATTTTAGTGGATTCTTCTATTTAAGACTTATTTCCTGCAGATTATTGGCAGTCACCTGCCAATTATGTTAAAGTTAAAGGTACATTGTAATGCATTACTTTTTCTTTTTTCCTTTCAAATTTCTGATTTTACAAACAAATACACATATTTTGTTGTTAGTAGTTTCCAACATTTTTATCTTGATTAGCTTATGATTGGTAACTCTGATCTAGAGGATAAGCGAACCAAGGTTATTCAAGATCATTATGGTTAATTTTTTGTGAATTTCTTTCTTTAGTCTGAAGTCCTAATCTTAACATTGTAATGATCTCAATTTTACATGACAAAGAACGTCATGGATAGTTTGATTCACATTATATGGATAAGTCGGCATTATGAAAGATTAAACTTATTTATGCAGAATTTAAACCATCATTCCTAAGAAACTACCGATAATTTTCTTTCCATCTAAATGGACTAATTCTCTCTCCCTCACTATATATACATTTTAAAGTTTTCACCTAGTAAAAAATGGGGCTGGTTTAGCCAAGCAGTTAAAATGGGGGCTGGTTTAGCCAAGCAGTCAGTTTGACTGCTTGGCTAAACCAGCCCCTTTTTTTTTATTTAGTCAATGTTCGTGCATGTATGTTCAACTGTGGCCTGTGTGAATGTCTAGTACAGTAAGATGTTATATTGCACTGGAGTCTTGAGAGAACACACGATAGATTTAAAGGATTGAAAAAAAAAATGTAGATAACTCTTTAAAGGCAGTTGACAGGATTCACCCTTTGGAATGAGCTTATCTGATCGAAGGACACAATTCATGTACATACTTTCTGAATGAAGGGTGAAAAATGTGTTACAAATTTAGCTAATGAATTTTAATTATTTGGTAAGAAGCAGATAAATCTAATGTATATGATACAGGCCATATAATTGACACTAGGAGTATAAAATCTTGTATGAACTTCCGAATGAGATATAAGTAGATATTAGAGCAATTATATACTTTGGACTTCTTATTGTCTGATAATATTTGGTGTTATTATGGTTAGATTTTATTATGTTACATTCATATGAGAAAACATCTTTTGTCTCCTTCTTTACAATAATTCCAGAGAAAATAAATTAGTTAAGGCCAACTTGAGTTGTCATTCCTATCACATAATTTAGTATCACACTTTGATACGATTGATGCTACATTGGCGCCACTAGTAACTAGACACATTTTTCTTCTTTATTTTCATTTTATTGAGACTACGGACAAATATTCCATTCTCAGTTGGAGAAGGAGGCACTTGCTAAAGGCATGCCAATAGGTCAAGCTCTTGACATAGAAATTCCACCTCCACGCCCTAAAAGAAAACCAAGCAACCCTTATCCTCGAAAAACCGGGGCTGCTACGGCTTTACAGGTGGGAGCTAAGGATGGAAAATCAGAAACGCCAATATCTTCTTTGCGTTACAAGCAAGTGTTGGACTTGGAGAAAGAACCACTTCCGGAGGTTAATTTTTCTTCCTCACCTAATTCATTCGCACCCTTAATTAAGTTTTTTTATTTTTTAATCTAAGCTTCAAATATATCTTGTTTGACAGAGACCTAATGGAGATGAAAAGCCTACACATCTGAAAGAAAATCAAGATGAGAGTTGCTCTGAGGTTTTTACCCTTCTCCACGAAGCCAACTGCTCGTCTGTGTCTTCCATGAACAAGAATTCTATACCAACATCAGCAGCACTGAGAAACTCTTGCACATTTAGGGAGTTTGTACCTTTGCTAAAAGAGGTAATAAATCATGATAAACATAAATTCTACGTCACTCTCAAACTTAAAGAAATTTATGAGGCTTATAAATTTAATGTCCAACAAACAATTCAGGATAATGGTACAAGTAAGGCTTCAAACTTGGAGAATTCTTGCACTTCATATGAGAAATCAGCTCAAGGCCAGAGAAAAGATGAGTTGGATGGTGCTTTACGTACAGATGAGATGCAAGCCACTCAAAATTATCCTCGGCATGTTGCTGTACATGTCCTAGATGGAAGCCTGGGTACATGTGCTCAAAATCCTTCTCTGGATATGCCATTTCAGGATTCAGTATTTCACCCTATGGGCGATGTTCATGGACGACCTAATCTGTTTGCAAATCCAGCTGCCTCTGCTACTACTGAACATCAGAATAATGCACCAAGATCAACTCATCAGGCATTTCCAACTTTTCATGCTCCCTTTACACATGTTTGCCCCAATCAAGAGGACTATCGATCATTTCTACATGTCTCCTCCACTTTTTCGAGTCTCATTGTATCTAATTTGTTACAGAATCCAGCTGCTCATGCAGCAGCAAGCTTTGCAGCCACATTTTTCCCGTACGCAAATGTTGAAAGTTCTGCTGATTCTCCCGCTTGTGGACAAGGAGGTTTCCCATCTAGACAAATGAACTCTGCTCCAAGTATGGCTGCAATTGCTGCTGCAACCGTAGCAGCTGCCACTGCATGGTGGGCTGCCCATGGACTGCTTCCTGTATGTGCTCCTCTGCACACTGGCTTTACCTGTGCTCCTGCATCCACTGTTGCAGTTCCACCAAAGGAGAATGGTCAAGCTCCAGCTGCAAAGACAGAAAGAAAAGATAATACTGATCAAGATCTATCCACGCAGGACCGACAGCTGGACCCTGAATACTCTGAAGCTTTGCAAGGTCAACATTCAGCATTGAAATCACCTACTTCATTATCATCAGACTGTGAAGAGAGTGGAGATGCAAAAGTGAGGACTGGAGTGAAAGCTGCTGATGACGAGAAGGCTGCTGAAGTAACTGAGCCACAGGATGCAAATAAAACAAAGAACAGAAAACAAGTTGACAGGTCCTCGTGTGGTTCTAATACAACTTCGAGTAGTGAGGTGGAGACAGATGTGTTAGAAAAACATGAGAAAGACAAGGAAGATTCAAAAGGAGCCGATGCAAATCATCCACAAGTTGAATGTAGTAACCGCCGTGGTAGAAGCAGTAGCAACCTGAGTGATTCTTGGAAGGAGGTATCTGAAGAGGTGAGTTGATGCGTCTTTTTTTGGCCATGTGGCTTCACCTTAATTATTATTCTAACTGTGTTCTGATATTGTCGCATTTATGACTCCACCACTAATGTGTTAGAATCTTTTTTTGTCAGGGGCGACTGGCTTTTCAAGCCCTCTTCTCTAGAGAGGTACTGCCACAAAGCTTTTCTCCTCCACACGACGGCAAGAATAAGGGGCAGCAAAAGGAAAATGTAGGTGAAGAGAAGCAAAATCCAAATGAGAAATCAACTTTAGACCTCAACAGCAAGACATTGGGATCTTGTTCTGACCAAGAAGAAGATGAGAAAAATGCATTGTCAAGAGGTGAGAACATTGTGGAGGAGGGCCTGCTGACGATTGGACTAGGACATGCAAAGCTCAAGGCCCGCCGAACAGGATTTAAACCTTACAAAAGGTGTTCTGTGGAAGCCAAGGAAAACAGAGTGATGAACACCGGCAGTCAAGTTGAAGAGAAAGGTCCCAAGAGGATACGCTTGGCAGGGGAAGCTTCAACTTGACTTACGCTATTGCATGCAATCGACAAAGCTTTGTTTGTTGTGTGTAATCTCTAATTTTCCCCCATATCTTTTTACCTTTCAAGCTTAATTTTAAGACTTGCAGCTCAAGAGACTTTTCGTGTAGATGTGTTGTGTACTATATGTCTACTACATTAACTTATTTACTTTCCTGGACTATGCCAGTGCAGTTATAAACTCCTGAAATAGACTTAGACAAGAAGCACCAAGTACTGAATGGCCCTTGATTTGGCCTCTTTTCTCCAAATATAAGCATTTGTCTTTTATTATTTTTCTACCTTTACTTTTTCTTTGTGATCATATTCCTGCAACAAGCTGAAACCCTTTTGATGCAGCGAAACGGCTAATTAAACAGACGGGTTGCTTGCCTTCCAGTTGCCAGGGTACATCCACTGGATTATAGAAACTCTTTTAACTGATTTTATACTTTGATTTTAATTCTTCCAAGCCTTAACCATATATTATTCTGCTTTAGATATCAACTCCTTTTTTTTTTCTTTGTTTTTTGGGTACATTCGAATCGGATCCTTATTTTACTTTGTCTTATGCTGTTGAAAATTTTGTTTTTGTTTTATGTTATTTTGTTTTCAAAATTTTAAAAACATAAAATATGTAACGAAAACAAAAACAATGCCAAATTTCAAAAGTACCAAATGGTTGTGACATTTTCCAACATAAAGAAAAATGCCACCTGATGCGGTATAGCAGGTCTGCAAACCCCATGTCTTTTGCTGGTTGTGGAGGATGATTTTGATTTCCCAAAATTTATTTCAGGTGTAGTTACTAATAGTGGGTAAATGATTTTTTTCCGCTACAATATCATTTCAGATCGCAGGGATTACTGGGTTGAGCCTGCCAGAGAGCTATATATTAGCTGGCATGAGGCAGGTTCTATCATCTATCAACATCCAATAGTCACAGTCAGGCTAGACAAAATCCATCAAGTATGCTTGATGAGCTCCAACATTAATTGAAAGAATTATATCCATGTAAACATGACTGTACGTATTACTATTTCTATTCAGATTTACAGTCTATCAAGGGAAAGAATAGTATCATTTACATTACCTCATATGCCACATAGAACATTTTGCTCCCGACTGCAAGTAGTGTTGTTATATACTCTTTCTATACATTAGATATATCACATATGTCCAAGGCTATCCATATAATGTCATCACCGTACGTCTTTCTTTATATCCTTGTCAGTTAAAAAAATTGCTGCAGTTTTGAAAATCTGTACACAAGCAGCGCTCTTCACTTGGTGGGCGAATCTGCAGACAGCTTTGGAAATGTTGCTGGTGTTAGAACTGAGATTGATGAGTCTGCAATTTGTTAATGCAGGTCTGAATTTGCTTCTTATTGTCAGGAGTCAATGAAAATGGAGGGTTCAATGGCAGATTAATCGCCTCTCCTACAATAAATGAAAGTAGAAGTATTGCTTTAGAGTACGATGCTGCTGCACTGCCTTTGTTCTCCATATACTCGTCAACCTATAACAAGGCAAAAAAAAAAAAAAAAACCCATTTTCGTTAATTAGCCACAATAATTCAATAAATTATAACATGGACGAAAGTTACTCACAGCGCCACTTGTCCCGATAGCGAGTGCTTTTTGATATATTATTTCCATGGCATCAGGCATCTCAGCAGTAGCTGCAATTATTTGACAGATATCTTAAATAAATAAATAAATAAAGAAGAAGACAAATTAAGTTAAAAACAAAGTATTATTTCAGATTGACAGCCTAACCATCCATATCTTGAAGATGACATGACAACTTCTCCGCACGATCATATGCAACAATAAACCCTTGCTTTGCCCAAATGCAAGCAGATGAAGGCTTTCTTAAATCTACATTGTATTCTGAATCTGGAGACAAGTCAGCACTACCCTGAACATTGGTAGGTTCCTTGGCTGAACTGCTTCCAGGTAATTCATTTTCTGCAGCAGATTTCATCCAAGAGATACAGATCTGAAGAGCTTTCTTCCACATAGCCAAGAGAACAAGTTCAACCGAAAATGATTCTAGAAATAGTCCTGCATTATACTGCAACCAAAAGCAGTTAGAGATTTATTATTCAAAGCAATTGAGCATGTCAGAAGCCTTTCTACAATGTGAGAATTTGACCAAGAATGTAGTCTGCAACAATGGCAATAGAAATGCTGTTTTGGAAACATTAACAGGATTCCACTCAACTAAGAATGGAAAATTCACATGCTAAAATATGATGAGTACTAACTGTCCTTAACATCAGATTGTGAGTACAGTGCACCAACAGCAAAAAAAGGCTATATGTTGCAACTAATCATTAAACTGAAAAAGCCAAAGTGCTTAAATGCAACTAATCATTAAACTGCAAAAGCCAAAGTGCTTAAAAGTTTATCACCAAAAAAAAAATAAAAATCAGGCTTTCTTAAAAGTAGCAAGTTTGAACAGCCAGATCATCTAATGCCCACATAGGACAGGGTTAATATAAATGGGAAAATACTGACTTCTTAGCTATTTTCCACGAGGTACAAAATCTTGCTGCTAGAAATAGAACGTGTGACGTTCTCTGTCACGCCATTATCAGTCAAAAAGATATACTTTGTACTTATTCAGCAGAAAAGAATAGAAAGATCACCTTTTCTTGAGCTAGTTCTGCAATAGCCTGTGCATACTGATGCAACAACTGCAGTCTAGTTGAGGGATGCGGTACGCTTAGTCTCTGCACTTCCCTTAACATAGCTGATTCAGATGATGTTGCTTGTGGATCTGATCCCTGAAATTGTGGAATTTTTGCAGAACTAGCAGAAGTCCCAGCAGTCTCCTTTGTTTCCGCAGAAAGTGTTGATTCCTGGTCACTCTTCTTTTCTTGGCACTTCAAATGCCTACTAGATGAATAATCTTGCAGGGACGTCTCAAGGGAATAAGAGAAAGTCTCCATTGAGGCAAATTGAGGGTTGACAAGAACATATTCTTTCTCAATAGACTCCATTGACTCAGCTACTGGTCAAACAAGGGAAAATTGAGGAATTAACAAAAAAAATAGCAGAAATGGAAACTTTAGCAGAAGAACTCACCTCTGGGCTCATCTGAGGAACATTGGTTATCAACACATTTCCCTTTATTATCAAATGCAAAAAAAGGCATTGCCCCATGAGCACCTTTGACACTGGATGAACAGCCACGCTCGTTTGTATGTAATACCGTGCCATGTCCAGATGAACTGGCTGATTTCAGATTTCTGCTAGATGTGTCCACAGGCTGCTCAGATAGTAAGTGAGATTTCTTCTCAGAGGCAGAAGTATCAAACTGCTCAACCATTGATTTTGATTGAAGAAGTGACGAATCCAGCCCAACGTCCACCCTCTTCCTACAGATTATTACAATAAATTCAACCCAAGTAGCTTGAATTACTTTGACTGCTAGAAAACTTAACACAGAGGATGTCAATTTAGGGAGGGGAGCATCAAATGCACTAAAAAGAGGATTTTACCTTGACTCTCCAAGGAACTTGTGATTGAAAAATTCTCTGAATGTCAGACGCTCAACTGCAAATTGAAGTTAAATTTTAGAAAAGGATCCTTGTATAAGTATTGCAAGTAAACCAAGATCCCAAAAATTTGCAAATTGCAGGCATTATATTAAATTTTCATACACTAAATAAGAACCCAAACTCAAGGCTGTTGGACAATAATCACTTTAACATGACCATATATGCATAAAGTACATAAATCTCCACAACAGTAACCAGTACCTGGATTGTGACGTAACAGGCTTCTGCAAAGATCAACACAATCTGGATGTAATTCTTCTATGGCACCTTCTGGAAACTGCAGTTCAGTGGATCTTAATATATTCTGGAACAACTGTGTTAAGCAGAGAATCACAATAAATAAGAGAAGCATTTAGGTTTTGATAATAAGCAGAACAGATTGCTATTCTCAGAAACCTGTAATTGAGTATTGCCATCAAATGGTGGCTTCCCGGTGACCAGTTGAAACAAGATTGCCCCAACACTCCACAAATCAGCCTGCATAGGTCATTACATTTATGTGAAAGATAGCAAAAGAAAAAACAAGGGAAGGGAGGGGCACAGGGAGTAAAAGCCATGTAGTTCTTTCACCTTTGCGTCATACTTCTGATTCTGAATAATCTCTGGAGCCATGTACAATGGTGAACCACATAGTGTATCAGCCAAGTCTTGAGGCGTCAGGGATCTGTGATACAAGGTTTATGAACCTTTTTCTATGAACAACTAACAATCCATGTGTCAAAAATTTCATATAATTATCAAAATCACAACCTTGATTTAATAATTCTGAACCACGACATCAGGATGTGGCTGACTAGAATAAACAGGCTTTGAGAGAAGCTTTTTTTTTTGGGAAGTGGGGGTGTGTTTGTGTATGTCTCAGTATATATATGGAGGGAATAGACTTTTCCAGTCTCAGAAACAGGGAAGAGAAAAAAAGTAATTCCCCAGTGGAAGTATCAAAGGCAACAAACTGATGACGTTATACAACATGTTTCAAAGTCAAGCAATGTCAATAAGCTAAGTCTTGTGCCAATTTGTTAAAGGCTAAAACGGTTACCTTGCAAAACCAAAATCTCCTATCTTCAGTTGCAGAGTTGCTCCTTTAGTTGACAGTAGTAAGTTCTGCAAAGTTACAACAAATTTAAAAGAAATAAATTGATAAACTAAGGACCCAGTCTTCATCACATAACAACTATAGATATTAGATGCCAGTTAATTTCCAAACAGAGACACTACATGCAACAAGAGCAAGTACACTACTGAGCCCTAAAAAACTAAAATGTTTGATTCTTTTTTAACCGTATAAATTCTCAAAAGCAAACAACATGGTCCGCACTAGGGATTCTCATATCAATGATCTGACTTCGTAGAAAATAACACAATCTAATTAGAAAATCAACATTATGATAATAAAGCACCACTACCTGTGGCTTTAAATCCCGGTGAATAAGATGTTTTTCTTGAAGAACTTGCAATCCTGCAGCTGCACAAGATAGTCCACAAATTGGGGATTTCAGATTTTTTTCAATAAGCTAAATAACAAATGAATTAAACAGGTAAACATTAGGGATACAAAACAAATGAGCTCCTCTGAAGAAACACTTACAACATCATCACTCCCATAACCACCAACTTATATAGCATTAATATGTTTGAATTTGAACAGCCAAATACTATTTATAAGTTGATCCAAATCCCAATTGCCCCAATCACTAAAAAAAGTACTATAGGATTCAATTGTAAGTCTGTAACTGAAGAATGAAGATGAAAAGACAAAAAAAGAAAAATAAAAGTTACAACACTCTAAGTTTGGCATCATATCCATTTGCCTAAACACTGTAATTAAGAATGTCATACCATAAATTACACAGGAAAAAAAATTAATCTCGAACAACAAAAATTGCAAAACCCATTGCCTAACTATCAAACATTTAATTTAAAAACTGTTAGTACTAAACAAGCAAAAGTTTAATTTTTTTTAACTGTTTTATGAGGCTCCCAACTAAAACTCACTTGCCTAAACACTGCAACGGAGAGCATCTAACTATAGTTATAAAGCCTTTAAAAAAAAAAAACTATAATTATAAAGCGAAAACAAAAACAACCCAATTGCCCCAACCATCGAATATTTAATTTAAAAACTGTTACTACTATTAATGAGGTTCCAAAGTAAAAACCAATCGTCTAAACATTGTAATAGCAATTATTAAAATTCAAAATATAGTACCCAATTGCCTCATAAAATGTCTGGCAACTTCCTCTGACACTTTCCCATGTTTATGAATATAAGCCGCAAGGTCTCCTCCATCACAATACTCCAACACTAGAAATATCCGATCTGCAGTCTGCCACAGAATTACTTACACATTAATCAATCATAAAATAATTCAAAAAAAAATTTTAGAAGGAGTGTCTATTAATTAAATAAAAAGGAAAGACCTGAATGGCTTCAAAAAAGTGGATGATGTTGGGGTGATGAATGGTGCTGAGAATAGAAATTTCTTTTAGCAAATTTTCACTGACTTTAGAGCTCAGGAGTTTCTTATCAATCTCTTTAACTGCTACTTCCGAACCATGTTGTCTATGCCTTGACTTCCAAACCACCGCGAATGAACCCGACCCGATTCTCGGACCTAGTATATAGTCTCCCACTAGTCGGGCCTGGCTTGGGCCCGGTCCCCCGAGATCCATCTTCATCGTCATCAGCAACGACCAACGAGTTTTTTTTTTTTTTTTGACCAGAACGACCAACGAGTCAACTCACTCGCTTTACTGGGTTTTTGTTCCCTGAGTTAAAAACATCATCAACTATTGTCCTTTTGCTGTTTGGTAGCGGTGACGATGATGATTTTGTTAGAGATCGTTTTGGGTTTTTCCTTTTTTCTTCCAGTTTGCACAATTACTCAAGTTATCCGAACAAAAGAAAATAAGAAAAAGAAACAGGACAAGACAGACAAAGGGAGAGAAACAAAATATATTTAAAAAAACGTTTATTTTTTCAGTGGTTTTTTTTTTTTTTTTTGTTGATTCTGCTTTCCTTTGTGTGGAAACGACGCCGATGTTGGCGGGGAAGATAAAAGCAGTTTTTAGAGCAAACGGAGAAAAGAAATAAAAAGAGAGGCAAGAAATCCTACATTCACTCTTTATATTGTATATATTTTTGAGTCTTGATTGGATTTGGATTTTGATTTGAAGTTAGAGTTGGGAACAAAGTAGGAATAATATAAATAAAAAGTTGGATTTGGATTTAGAAATTCTTTTTTAATTTTTTATTTATAACATAAATAAAAAATTTATCAATAAATTTATTAATTTTAATGAAAATAATTTTTAAAGTAATTTTTTTTGTTTTTTAATTTTTAGGGTGTTCAAAAATTTTTTAAAAGTATTTCGATAACTTTTTTTAATTTTATTATTTTTGAATTTTAAAAATGTTCATGAATATCTTTTTAAAAAAAAAAGAATTCGCATGTGAGTAGGAAAGTATATCTGTAATTTTACTATAATTAAAATAAATTTGCATCTTTGATTATTGTTAAAATATTTAAAAATCATAAATTATTTTGTTTTTTAAATATATTTTTATATTTTTATTATACATACAAAAATTTTATTTTTTAATTTGTATCAAAATAGAATTTTATTTTAAACAAAAGATTAACTTATTTGAAGGATTTATTTAAATATAAATTAAATGTTAAAATTTTATTTAAAGATAAATTAAAAATTAAAGACTTATTTAAATACAAATTAAAAAATAAAAATATAATAATTTATCTAAATAAAATAATAAAGTTGAGATTTTAATTATTATTTTAGTCTAATTTCAATGTCCAACCAAATTATGAATCAAAGAGTATTTCCATAACCCTTTCGTATTTTGATCGGTTTTAGTTAACTGTTTCTTTAAAATCTCGTTTGTGTGTTTTTTCCTAAAGAAAGTGCCAGAATTTGATCTCATTTTGCTCGTCATTTATTTATGAATCTAATAATTATTCATGTATGATGGTATGGGCATGCTATGATTCAATATTTAATGTACGTCCATGGGCCATCGTTAAATAAAGATACAAAAGAAATGTAATTCATGTGCTACATATGCTCTGGTCATTATTGACTATAAATTTTTATTATAAATAATATAAAAAACTTTTGGTCACAAAAATTAATTAATCAAGGGTGCAATTATTGTAAAGAAATTGGAAAATAAAATTTCCTTTAAGATTGTTGGATCTAAATCTAAAAATATTTTTAAAAATAATTTAATTTAATTATTTCATATAATTATTTTAAAAAATAATAAATAGTAAATTTTATATTTAAATTCAATTCCTGTAATTTTTATACTATTTTTCATGAAATTATAAATTATAATCATAATTAAATATTACATACAAATAAAAAATTATTAAATAATCAAACAAATAAACAAATAAATAAATTACAATATAATTAAATAAATATAACATAAAATAAAACAAAATTCATATATAATAAAATTTGAATCTAAAATCTCATGATCCTATGACCTCACCCTTATTATTATACTTCATTAAATCTTGAAAATAAATAAATAAAATTCACTTGCCATATTTTTTATAACAAATTTTTAAAATACTTATCATCTAATTCATTTAAATAAATCTTAATAAGAATTTTTGTAAATAACAAATTTTAATAAAAATTAAAAATTTTATATTTTCAACATTTTAATTACAATAAAAGAAAATTTTATAATCTTAAAGAAATGCAATAAAAGATTAAAAAAATTATTTCTTTTTAATAAAATAACAGATATCTTAAGGATCTCGTGCTGGTTTGGTAGCTTATTAACATGGAAAATTCTTTTAGACGATATCTTAAAAAAACCAAGTAGGCACAACTTTACTCGGACAACAATAGTAGATTTGAGAGATACGGTTGAGCTCACATAGCTGACTTGTGTAAATTGAAAACATTCTTTTACTAGAATCTCCAAGATTTCACCACGTAATCGAGTTGAGATTAGCATCCAACACGAAATTGCAGCAGAACCATAATCAGCATACAAGATTAAAACAAATCCCAATCCCAACACCGAATGAAAGCACAGCTGTCACAGTGGATTACAGCAGAGAAGCGAGTAACATACACTAGAAAGCGCGTGAGCTTTGGAGTTGCAAATCTCTTGCATTTATAGATCTGACATTCCGTAATTCTCAAACCAAATTATACATTTCATATTTTTGTAATTACCAAAGCTTCAAAAACCATGCAAATTGTGTTTACTATAAACCATAAAAGGAAGAGATTAAGGAAAACAAAGTGTTAAATCATGTATTTTATTGAAAGAGATGAGATTGTTTAAGTTGTTTTAATAGAATCAACATGCTCCACACCCTCACGTAAAAATGCACACTGTCCCATGGCTAATGAGGTACCAATTGTAGCCCATTCCACAGACCAATCTTCTTCACTTCCCCAATTTCTATGCATCACCTCAACACTTTTTTTTTTTGTTGGTATTAGCCCTTGATCTTGCCACGTGGCTATTTTGGTCCTACTCTTTTGTGGGGTCTTGTTTGAAATGGCTGAAATCATTGGCCCATCTTTGGGAAAGATGGGTAGGTTTTGTGGTTGGTGTTTTAGTATTTCAGACAATTTGAGAAAGCCATGAATGTGATTCTTTGAAGATCTTTTAGTTTCCAAATATTCACTCTGAAACAAGCAAGTGAAACAGGTTTACAAGGCAATGTTAGCTCTACTTTTAATTTCGTTTATTCTCTTATCTCTTAATCAACCAGGAATCTGTTTGCAGCAGCGTCGGCAAATGCAATCCTTTTTGCTTCCAAACCAGTGCAATGACAAATGTGGCAGTTTTCACATACCATTTCCATTTCATTTAAACGCTTCTTGTTCCTCTGTTTCCAATGCTTTCCATCTGTCTTGCTTGAATTCCACTACCCTTTACGTCCACATTGGCATTGAAAGCTATCGAGTTCTTGACTTCTTCTCTGATGGTATACTTACAGACTTTCCTGGAAGCTCCACTTGTCGTCAATACAACGATTTGAAAGCCTTCGATTTTTCAGGAAATGACTACTTTGGTATCTCTGATGACAATGTAATAGGTCTATATGATTGTGAAGACTCTTCTTTGTGTAAAGCAGATTGTGAAACAAACGACTTGCCCGGTTGTGATGGCAACAGTGGTGGATCCCTTGGATGCTGTTATCCACTTTCTGATCAAAGCATTTGGCATTCTGGCGATGGGTTTTCGAGTTTTTCAAAGTTTGGGTGCAGAGGATTTTCATCATGGGTAGTTCCCCGGGGAACCAACGCCGGGAAGCGTGGGGTTAAGTTGGAGTGGGCAATTCCTAGAAATACATCTGAACGAGTTTGTGTTAGCAATGCAGATGTGGTCAATGCCACAACAGTTGAGGCTGGGGTCAGGTGCTCGTGTAAGGATGGGTTTGTGGGTGATGGATTTGCTAATGGAGCTGGATGCTTGAAGTGTGAGTAGTTTATTTATTATTATCTTGCATTATCAGCATTCTGCTCAATCATTATTTTCCATTTGAAATTTTCCCATAATGTGCTTCAATTTTTTAATTATCATTGAAATTTAGAAAACGTTGTGAACTCAAATATGTTAAAATTTGATGCTTAAGACTTGCATTTGAATTACAAGTTGCAAATCCAACGAGGGTGCAGAGTTTCCAATTGTTACGGTGGATACCATTTTCCTTTTTCAATTCAATCAACTGAATGCAGGCCAGGTGGGGTGTACAGAAAACAAAGCAAAGGAGTGATTTAATGATGTGACTCATTTACTGATCATTGGTGCATCTCTACTTCACGCAATTAAAGCGGACCACCCACTCTCTGTTTTATGGGCTGCTCTGTGCATCCATCATCATTGTTGTAACTATATAAAGTATTCAAAAGACAAATGCATAATTTCATGATCTCTTTTTTTTGGTCCACAGGATGGGCATAGCCCATAGGGGCAAGGGAGGAGCTCTTGATTTGAAACCAAGACCTCTATGTCCTCTTAAGGCGTTCTTAGCTTATAGGCTTCCATTATCTTTGACGTTAAGATTGATCATCTCAAAGACTCAAAAACATTGAGTCAATGGTTACTTGATGCACTTTTCTAATACTATATTTAGTTTATTATGTAATTCTAGTATAATAATACTTTAGTACATCACTATTTTGATTAATCCAATATCCTACACACTAAACCAATTGTGGACAAATATCTTTATAACAAGCTATTCTTTAATCCATTGAGCATTCAGTTTCATGCCAATGTTTTCTTACTGCAAACTACTATTTCACATGTTGGCCAATAAGAGTATTTAACTATCTATCTTTTATTCCATGTTTTATATCTGCCTTGGACAGCCTGCATCAAAGAGGGGCAAGAAGCATATGGGATGGAATGTAACAGCCCAAGACACAGTCAAAGGAAACTTGTAATTGTAGCAGGTATGGTATCATGAGATAGATTATTTTGTCATACATCTTCTATTTGCATGATGATTTTGGAATTCCAAATCACATAATATGATAGGCCTAAATATTATCCCTATCTAGCTTTAAAGAGTTTTCAGGTAACTAATTGCTGAGAGCCTGAGAGAATTAATATCTTACCATTTTTGCCATGTAGGTGTTCTTGCTCCAGTTTTCATCCTTGCCTCCTTATTCCTATTCCTCTGCATACTGAAACGACCAGTTAAACCAGGTGCGTTTGACCTAGAACAAGCTCATTATCACAGTACCATCTCATTTCGGAAAGCTTGTAGGACTAGATTATTCAGTTACAGAGAGCTAAACGAAGCAACCAGAGCATTCGAAGATGGTCTGAAGCTTGTAGATGGCACAAATGGCACAATTCATGCTGGGGTCCTTGGGGATGGTTCGCACATAGCTGTGCAGAAGGTGCAGTGTGAGAATGAAAGAGACCTAATTCATGTCCTATCCGGAATTGAGCTTTTATCAGCTGTTTTACATAGGAATTTAGCTCGACTCCTTGGATGTTGTATCGACTCTGGTTACACCCTAATGGTGGTCTATGAATATCCTGCAAATGGCACCTTGGAGGAACAGCTGCAAAATAGCGGAGGACAAAAATTTGGCCTGGACTGGTATAAGAGGCTAAGCATAGCTGCTGAAACTGCAAGCGTCCTAGCATACTTGCAGTATGAGATTTCTCCACCTGTTTTTCACCATGGCCTCAAATCATCCGGCTACATCTTTCTTGACGTGGATTTCTCAGTTAAGATTGCTGGGTTTGCACTACTTAGCTCTGGCTCCGGAAATGGTTCTAATTTATGCAACAACTACGAAAGCCCTCTTACTCACAAAAACGATGTTTATGACTTTGGTATGTTATTGTTAGAGATAATTTCAGGCTCCAAATATTCGGACATGCCATCAGTAGCCTTGCAAAAAATTAGAAGTGGGAAGCTAGAAGAAATAGTGGATCCATCTCTTTACTACCATGAGCAGCCTAATTTTCGCAGAGAGCAAATAGAAATAGTAGCAGACATAGCAACCAGGTGTTTACTGTTTGGTGGAGATGGCAAAATTGGAATGATTGATGTTGCAAGGGAGCTGGTGCACACTGCAAAAGAAAGCATTGATGGCGGAAGCAAGAGGGGAGCCACATTGGAAGAAACTTTTTCAAATTCAAGCCTGCTTCAAATGATATCTATGTCTCCTGACTCTATGCATGTGCCTTGAATTTCATATCAGCTGCAAATATGCTAAGTTACCTGCATTCACATCTGATTACGCATATACAAATTTATGTATAACTGGTGGATTGGGAACTTGTTTTGATGATTTACATGCTGCTGGTTCTACATATTGTATCAATAGCATTGATTGTGCACGTCTTTTGAAAATGATGAAAATCCTGAAATATTGTGTATATATATTGCAAACTTGACAGTGATACCTCCTCATTGCAATTACCCCACTTTTTGTACCAGTTATGACTTATGATTCTAACCTGCAACTTCATTTTTGTTTCCTTTTTCATTGATACCTAGTTGTGGTTTTCAAATGTCCCCGTACTTAAAGATTGAATTCTTGATGAAAGGGAGGTGTACTAACCAAGAGTGTTGTAACAAAGAAATGGGAAGAACGGTTAAAATCACTTTGTGGATTTGGTCAGAAAAGCCCACATAATAAAGTCATTGAAACTGACTTAGGGTATAAAGGAGGCTTGGAGACTTTTATTATTGACGCACGAAAACGGCCCAACAAGAGTGACAGCAGAGTTTGAATAGAACCAACAGAATTGTTGTAAGCCTTGAAAATCCATAACCAAAACCTAGAATCTATTCCATAGACCTTGTTACTCACACCACAGGACAATGGACACTAACCTACACGTGTAACCTTGCCTCTTCTCAAGGTCACATTAATTGCTTAGATTTTCAGCAAACATTTTCAAGTTATATCAGTACAAGACAAAAAAAAAAACATCACCATTCAACCCGCAATTATACGACAAAGGGATCTGTCTAAAGTATTAAATTGGCTTTTAATTTCCTTGCACAATCATTATATTTTCTAAAATACTACTATTTTGTGATTAGAAGTGGCAATTTTTTTAACCAAAAATAAACTATATTTACCGGTAATGGCCGAGTCAGAGAGAAAAAGGGTACCTGTTTTTTCTCAACAGTAGACACGAGGCATTGCCTTAAACCATTGACCAACCTGTTTTCTTTCTTGTCCTTCAGCAAACTTTCGACACTCCATGCTATAAATATTTACCTATAGATCAAGCACAGCTTTAGGATCATTGCATCACTTCCCATTTCCCTTCCCTCAATAATCAATAACTTTGTGTTTACACTCTTATCCCACAACCAAGGTACGTTTCTTTCACTTCATGAACTGTGTAAGATCACAATGGAAACCCTCTTTTTTTAAACGTATTCTTTATTTTATAGATTGCACTCCGTATCATTTCTGGGTTTAAGTGCAACAGCACAAGTTCCATAGGCGTTTATTGAATCCTACTAGAATTCGTGAACAAGCTTTGGACTTTGGATTAGCATGGCATATACGTAAAGCATTAAGAGCACCCTTTTTTACTTTATAGTTTTACCTTGTTGATAAAAGAGATTGCAGAAGAAATAGATCTGTAAGAAAGTTGATTTTTTGTTAATCTTGTCTTGTACTTTATTGATGCAGCAACCCGGATACAGATCAATAGTACTTTAAAGTACCATCTTTTATAAAGTGCTAATATTTGCCTGGTATTCATCATCTGAGCAATGGGACAACATAGAATTTGTTGTTAGGGCATTTTATCACCATATGCATCTAATATTTGATTCATTCAGATCCTAGACTTAGTCTTCCAAACATTTAGCCACCTGTTTTATGCATCATGGTTATTATAAATTCTTAAAAATTTGATTTATCGTGCCGCTATCATTATTCATTAAAACTGATGACTGGACTTAATTACTATCATTTGATTGAATGTTGATGCAATTTATTCTTCTCGTGGAAAAAGATGAGCGAAGCAGCTGAAAATGAAGCTCCACGTCAAACACCCTGTTTGAATGAGAGGATCCTTTCGAGTTTGTCAAGGAGATCAGTTGCTGCACACCCTTGGCATGATCTTGAGATTGGTACCTATCCAATGAGTGAATAATTAGATTTGATGGTTGTAGCTAATATTGTCTGAGTGAATAATCAGATTGAAAATATTGTCTGCAGGACCTGGAGCTCCAAGCGTTTTCAACTGTGTATGCGTTTTTTTAACTTTATCAAGTCAATCATTATGAATCTTATTGGAACTTGTTAATAGAACCTTTATGGGCTTAAAATATTTTACATTAGTTTTATCACCTTCACCCATATAAGAAATTCTTGCTTTTGACTTGGGAAACTGAAGAAAAAACAGACATTAGCATGTTTTACTGTACATCGATGCTAAACGTTTGCTTGTTGAATTTCTTGTTCAACTGAACAGGTTGTTGAGATACCAAAGGGTAGTAAGGTCAAATATGAACTTGACAAGAAGACCGGATTGATTAAGGTATGAAAGACAGAAGTTCCTAGAACAAGTTAATAGATAGAGCCATACCTCATAGGCGAAGTCTTTTCCTCTCTTCCAAGCAATTCCAGTTTTCTCCTGTTTATCAGAACATCTGCCACTTTTTCAGTTGAGGACTGGAAAATTAAGAATTTACTTCACATGATAGAGTCCTGTTCTTCCTAAATTTTAAATTCTTGCATGTCTCTCCATATTGTAATGTTTTCTTACTGTTTAAATGAATCTCAGGTTGATCGGGTTTTATATTCTTCTGTGGTCTATCCTCACAACTATGGTTTCATCCCTCGCACGCTATGCGAAGACAATGATCCCTTGGATTGTTTGGTTATCATGCAGGTGAACTATATATGGTGATGGACTATAATGCTAAAGGATAAAATTGTTTATTGCTGTTGATATGATTCTGTTTTTATCAAATAGGAACCCTTATTTTGTTTTTAGTATTTCTGTAAAATTTCCAATAATTTATTCTTTAATATTGATATGTATTATTCTTAATTTAATCAGTACAATAGCATCTTATGTGTTTCATTGTTGACCATTGCATCTTCCACCTCAGTTCCACGAACCCCCCCCCCCCCCCCTCCCTCTTTGTGCTCTGAATCACCCTCATTGCTTACAAGGACCTTTCTATCAAGGTGTCCTTCCATGACTTGGTATCTGGCATTAAGTACATCATGCCAAATTTAGCCCTACAACTTGATTGTTGCATCTTTGAGCTGCATGCAACAGTGATCTACAAGTATTGAGATAATGTCATTTCTTTGAATAGGAGCCAGTTCTTCCTGGATGTTTCTTGCGAGCCAGAGCCCTTGGACTAATGCCCATGATTGACCAGGTATTTCATTGAAGTTTGAAGTTAACCTTCTGAAAATTCTTCCCTTCAGTTTACATGATAACCTTTTTATTATTATTGTCACTCAGGGGGAGAAAGATGATAAGATCATAGCAGTTTGTGTTGATGATCCAGAGTACAAACATTTCACTGATATCAAAGATCTTCCCCCTCACCGCCTTACTGAGATCCGCCGTTTCTTTGAAGACTGTATCCTTTTCAATCTCAAATTATAAACTCATCGTTCGACATTTTGTTTGTTTATCCAAATAATAGTCAAGTTTGTTCCCCAATGTGAGGAATACTGGTTTCTTAACATTGCACAGACAAGAAAAACGAGAACAAGGAGGTTGCAGTCAACGAATTCTTACCTTCAAGCACTGCACTTGAAGCTGTCCAGTATTCAATGTAAGCCTTCCTTAAAGAACTATAACTTACATTGCTGAGGAGGGTTATAAACAAATCATAGAAGGGAATTCCTATGTCTAAAGCTGATGGACATTCCCCTTTAATTACTACATCCTTGGCCTCCTTTATTAGTCAGCATTTTTCTTATCCTTCTCCACCTTACAGGGGTTTTTTTGTTACTATGTTGCAGGGACCTTTATGCTGAGTACATTTTGCACACCCTGAGGCAATAGGCTCAAAAAGCTATTTTCCTTCAATTTCCCATTCATTCTTGGAGGGTAATACATCATACTAAATAAAACATCTTATCAACAACAGTTGAATAAGAATGACAACTCCATTGATTACTTTTTGTAGTTCTGAATTATTATTATTATTATTATTATTATTATTGCTTGTTGGATTAAACTCTCTTGTGAGAAGAAATGATAAATGGAATGTATCACTTACTAGAACATGATTGGGACTTTTAACTATTTTTGTGCAGATCACTTCATCATACATATGTTCTATGTATTTCCCCACTTGACTCTTTTAATCTTCGGAAATATTTGTTCAAAAACCTTCTTGAAGCAACTGAGACAATTAAAAAGTCACATTTTCAAGCTGCATTCCGCTTTACTTTAACATAACCGTAGACCATTTTGGGTATAAAAAAGATAGTATTTTGCGAATAAAAAAACCTATTGCATATGCAAGGATTTAAATTTTAAATCTACTTAATACTACCAATATTACCACTTAAAGATGATTACATAAATCAACTAAAATAAACTTCAAATTCCATAACTGTAAACTTTAGTCTTCTTATTTTCAACTTATTTCTGGTGCTACATGGTTGTAACTTTCTGTTAATGGCCCACAGTAAAACATAGATTATTGCTAATACGAATAAAATGAAGATAAATGCCTCCTTTATCGCGTTGAATTAAGTATAAAGAGGACGTATTATTACATCCTATATGTCACCTGTTCCCCATTAGATTATATGGACATCAAGTCATGCAAAATCAGACATCCATATTTGCTTATAAATTTTCTTTGGCCTAAGCAAAACGTGAATTAATGGCAAAAAAAAAAAAAACCACAAATTGTGAGACATCATACACCCATGACCAACAGGGGCCATTGAAAAAAATAGGGCTGGGAACAGAATACCAAAATAATGATTGTCCTCCATATCGTCATGAATAACATTTGTTTAATAGTTCCAAGAGAAGCACCGCAGCTGAGTCCTTGGCCTTCTTAACACTAGGCATTGGCTCACCTATGCATTCATCTGTCCACCCCCTGTCAGTGGTATTCACCTTGACAGCAAAGGTAAATCTCTTTGCATGAGCAGGCCCCCCCTCATTCGCACACCTAAAGATATCAATATATCAGATCAGTTATATATGTTATTGTCAAAGTACCATGCGGAAGAAAATGTACCAACAGTACTTTCTTACCGATAGGAAGGCATAGGCCAATTTCTACGCAAGCAAATATCATTCAATGTTTGTCTTGTAAATGTCTGGTTTCCATTCTTCTTTTTCCCATTCTCCTCGTTATTCTCCTTGGCTTCAGCTGTTTCCTTCTCCTTCAAAACAGCAAGCGCATTCCTGGCAGCTAGTTTCTGTGCCATCTTCTTTTGGGGATTCTGAGCAACCCCAACCTGGACACCATCAACGAAAACCTCCACAGTGGCCAAATTGCCACTTCGACTGGCTTTGTATTCCAAGCCTTCAGCTTGTTGCTGGCATCGCTCTTGTAGTTCCCGCACAGGATGCATTGGTAATGTCTCTGGAGTGACCATAGGATGCAACAGGGGTTGAAAAACCTGGAAAACAAGAAAATTTTTTTCCCTTATCAGATCTCTTATTCATATATCTGTAACAAAAGAAGCAGGGAAATGTTTCAGAGACAATAAATTCAGTTCCTTGGCTGAAACTAACCCTCCAGACAACTGCTGTGTCTCGTCCACTGTCAAGAAAAATGGCACCAGCAATGGATTCAACAATATCTCCAAGAACTTTTGGAGCTTTGCAATCTCCCAAACCAAAGGAGTTGAACCCAGGCTTTGATAACTCATCCTGAACTTCCTTTACAAAATCCCGAATCTGAAACAGAAGCCAAGAATACGAAGTCAGAACTTGGGAGGAACCCACCCATTTCCATAATCAAGGAGCCCCATACCTAGCAAATAATATCCTTTCTTTTCTACTTATCATCCGTAGAACAGAATGTACCGATTTTGAACTCATCAAGAATAATTTCACTTGTCATATATGAACATGCCAGTTAGTCTCGAATTACATCCTAAACTATTATTTACGATTTTTACAATTTTTCTTTTTGGTTAAGATTTTACTAACATGAAAGTAAAATGACATGATTGATTTTCTTCACTGGCATCATAAACAACGAAAATTTGGTTTATACCATAGAGGGGTGGCCATCTAAAACTTGACATATACCACATTGCCTAACCCAGCAGTGACATGATATGACTCAAGAAATAGATTGATTCCTGACAAACTTTTTTTAAAGTAAATATACATATATATATATATATATATATATATATATAACCTGAAAAGTTATAAGCATGAACATGACCTAGAAACCTGAATCATCACCATCACTGGGTGAAGAGAATACTACATGTAGGGCATGAAGCTGCAGCCCATGTGCCAGAAGAGACAAATAGATATGGGTTAAGACAGCCACCGCTCATTAAATAAGCTAAAGTTAAGAAATCAGATGGTAAACCTGTTTTTCAAGGGCGCTTGATCCATGCCGAAGGTGCACATGCAGCTGGTGCTTTACTGCAACTCGTGCAAAATTTTCATTGTTTACAGCAGCGGCTCTCAAATCAGTCAAGCGACCTGGAGGCAGATTGGTGTAGGTGAAAAACAAGTGTTTTGTTATAAGATGATCTAAGACCGCATCACCAACAAACTCCAGACGCTGGTAGCAGGAAATTCCAGATGATGGGCGTGAAGCATGAGTAATAGCTTCTACCAACAAGGCCCTATTTTTAAACTTGATGTTCAATGCACCTTCTATGGCATCAAAATTAACACTCTTAAGTATGCTTTCTGGAACATTGGATGGCCTCACTGTAGATTCCATCTCATCAGGATCAAACTCCACCTGAATCCCAATCCATTTCATGAGGTGGTTAGCTGCATGCTTGCCACCTTCAACATAATAAATTCCGATTAGAGCTTCAACAACGTCTGCTAGGGTCTTGCTAGAGAGGACTCTGTAAGAACTTGAGTCACTCTCAATCTCACCATCTTCCATATCTTCGTCTTCGAGCCCATCACCAGGTTCTTTTCCTGGTATAATATCAATAGTTTCCTGTTCTTGATCAAATAAGGATGTTTCTCCATCTTTGGTATCCTCGTCAAAGACTGGCAATACTCCAGGGGCAGCCCATCTAGATGGTGCAAAGCGATCTGCTTGGATATATGATTGAAGTCCCTTATTTAGTGCATACTGATACAAAACCATGTTACTCACCATTTGTTGTCTCATCCGGGTCAGTTGCCCTTCATGTTTCTGGGGATATTTAAGAAACAAAAAACGACTAACAACCCATTTCAAGTAAGCATCCCCCAGAAGCTCTGCCCTTTCATAACAAAATGTCTCCTGACAGGAAGCGGCAGTCAAAGCTTCCAAAATCTGTTGATATAAAAGAAAGACAACATTAGTGACCGTCCAAAAGCTGCTTGAAATTGATCAACTTGAGAATTATATCACACCTTTGAAGAAGGAACAGAAAATTGTATCATGTGCTTAAGTTGAATTGCAAGAAGCATGCTCTCGACCCTCCTCATAATAGAGGGCAACCTCTGGGCACCTCTAACAAGTGATCCAGGAAGTGGATGAATAAAACACAGCTCAGGAGGAAGAAACACAAAGTATGTTTTGTCAAGAGCCTCCTCAGATTCACCTTCATATGATACATTACATTTAGCACCAAAAGGACCACAAGAGATGCCAAACTAATGGTTATACACAAGAAGCATTTCTCTAAATATACCTTCTGAGTGCTCAAATCGAGGAGATAAGAGATTCTTGCAATATGAAACACCACGACCTCTTATTAAAGGTTGTTGTTTGCACCTCAATTCAACACCATACCTGATAATGATATACACAGGAATCAATAGCCTAATGCACCCTTTGCTGTGCAAGAAGAAACAAAAAGCGTCTTTGATCTGTAAGGACATCCACTACTATCAGGTAGAAGCGTGAGGAAAGCTCACATATTCTGCACCTGAAAGTGGTCAACCATTCCTTCACAGAGTAAGACATGCTTTTCTTTTCTTCACACACAACAATTGAGGTGCATTAAGGCTATCCCATCCATTAAAAGAAGCAATTAATAGGCAGCCAATTTTTACTTATAGTTTTACTAAAGCAGAGGGAATACAGCAGGAACTTAAGGTAAGAAAAAAAAATCATACTTCTGCTTATAATAATCAGCATATGAGCTATACTCCAGCGGACCAAGATAGCCCTCTTTCCTCGGGAAGGAGGTCTCCGCTGTCATGTCATTGCGTATTGAATCTACATAAAACCTCTTCCCTGAATGAGCAGCTGTTACTATTCTTCCAACAAGATCTTCTGCCTGTGTGACACCATCAGCCATAATCAATTTGCCTTTGGTCAAATCCCCTTCTTGTACCTCAATCAAATCTAGAGTAGGAACCACCCCGGTAGCTTTCACAACATCAAATGGGGCTACAGCTCCTCTGATACCATAAGTAGGATGAGGTTTGTGCCCAAAAGCCATGCCATGACGCAATTTCCCAAATCCATACTCCCTTCTGTCACCACCAAGCGTCCTCTCATTTGTGCCAAGGTAAACATCTGGCCTAGCTCTCTGAAGGGGATTGCTCCATGCATCTGTTGTGATTATATTATCAACCAAATCCCAGTCAACTTCTTTTACAGGATCTACACACTTATCGCTAACCACAGGAACAAACAAATATGCCTTGGCAGGATCCCAAGGAGTGGTGGAAGGATTAACATCCACATCCAGTACAATGCTCATTAATCTTACGTGAAAACTTTTAAGGGATGCCAGCTGCAAATAAGCAGACTTTTAAGTTATCATAAGCATAATATGAAGAATGAAAATAAAAATAAAAATAAAAAAACTTAAATTGTAATCATTATCCAAACAATTTAAACAGCAACTAACTTGACTTTCAGTAATATCTATTGATCCCCTGAAGACAAGAAATGCCTTAGTAATCATGGCTCGAGCGATAAATAGATCCATCGACATCGATAACACCTGTCAGTGCCAAATGTGATTTGAAATTAACATCTTATTTACCAAATGCTCATTATGCTAGAATAAAAACAAAAGAAAGCACCTCTGCATCCAGCTCTTTGCCAAAAAGCACTGCAAAATCTGAGACATTAGTTAAGAATGGATCTTTTGAAGAGCCATTATTTTCACATTTGATACTATACATGTACAAATGAAGTATTTTGGAGTCATCAGTGCCATCTCTTCCAGATAAAATCCATTCTCCCTGTGGACCAGAAAGCATTTTAACAATTTCACTTTAAACAGAAAACCATTAAGGACACCAAGAACATAGTGAATGATATACGCAACCCAAAAGTGCATATTAGATAAAGAAACACAATTTATCCAACAGTCTTTCATCATAAATGCTATCACTCAGGCAACAAAGTCCTCAAGGTTTGGGTTTTGCAAAAATTTTTTAAACCCATAAAAAATTATATCCCCTTAAGAAATCATGAGCCAAATTGTGACAGAAACCTTTTACTGTTTACATAGTTATAAAACTTTCATTGGTCCTGTATGATGTATCTATAAGTATTTGAAAATTTGAATGATACTTGGCCATTTATTCCTTAATCCTTTAAACCAAATTGTATAATTCTTTGTATCATTCAAGAAATTTGAAGGATTACAAGTTCCAGACAAAGTATAACAGCATGTATACTTCCCTCCCAAAAAAGTTAATTTCCGAATAATGCCTTATGGAAAGATATTGAACATGTTTGTTTTGTTAATTTCTGAATAATGCCTTATGAAAAGATATTGAACATGTTT